GCGCACTTGTTCTCCGCGGCTCTCCTGCCTCTTCAGCGCACTTGTTCTCCGCGGCTCTTCCTGCCTCTTCGGCGCACTTGTTCTCCGCGGCTGCTTCCTCCTCTTCGGCGCAATTCTTCTCCGCGGCTGCTTCCTCCTCTTCGGCGCAATTCTTCTCCGCGGCTGCTTTCTCTTCTTCAGCGCGACTTTTTGCCGCGGCTGCTTCCTCTTCTTCTATGGGTGGGGGAGGGGGTGGTGGGGCGCCCTCCTCCTCCTCCTCCTTCGCCTGCTGTTGCCCACTCCGCCGCAGCTCCGACGCCAGTGGGAGCTCCTCACCATCCGCGCCTTTCGGCGTGGCGTCCATCGGAGACACGTAGATAAAAGACAATGGCAGCACACCCTGCTCCTCCAGTGGAACGTCCATGTCCAGCCGGCCCACAGGTTGCCTTTTCTCGTTGCACGCAAAGGCCACGTAGTTCTTCATGGATGGTACGCCCAGCTTCCGCGAGATGTGCGGAAGAACTGTGCGCAGCGCCTTCCCCTCCTCAACCTTCTGCACGACATATTCAGAGGCCTTCAGCTTCTTGGCCACTATGTTGAAAAGCGGCATGCGTGCAACCGTGAAGAAAAGCCTACGCCTAATAGCCCTGTGCCCGCCTCTCTTGCCGCTGCCCCTACTTCAGGACCTTTCCTCAGGTATTATCACAGCACTGAGGAAGATGGAAGGGGAGGAAGAAAAAAAAAAGCCCCTCACACCACCGCATGTGCCTCTGCCCCTCGGCTTATCTTACTCCCTTTCAGCAACAATACGCGTCAGCCGCGCTGCGCCCGCACATACACACACACACACACACTCACAGCATCAGGCCACGCAATCACGTAGGCCTTTTAGCAAAATGAAACAAAACAATGGGCAACAGCAGCGAATGCAAATAATCCACCGGGCACTAGCAGGAGACGAAAATTTACTAAGAACTAAGAAGAAGTGTCACGACTACGGTGGCTTGTCCCGCAGTGTATGTCTCCCGGCTTTAGAGTAAAAACTCAAATCCACCAAAAGTCTTTGGGCGAGGGAGATGTCGACTTTGCTGCTTGCGGTCTCCGCATCCACCTCCTGGCAGTCCGAGGGAACGGTGAAGACAGACGGGTCCGGTGCAATGGGGACAAAGTTGTAGAAGTCGACCGTGACGACAGTGTCCTCCATCAGACGCCGCAGGTGGGTGTCGAAGGGCTCCTCTGGCATGACCAGCTCATCAAAGAAGGGTCCGCCAAAGTAGCGCCAATTCGGCAACGTGGCAGGGGCGCCGGTGAGCTCCTTCAGTGCCTGCTGTTGCCGTTGCGTCTGCACGCGCCAGGGAATCGTGAATACAAATTCCTCGACGCCCGCCTTCCCCTCCCCAGGCAGCTTAAAGCTCATGTTACGGATGTAGTAGTCCACTTGCTGCAGCGGCCCCGTGCTGTCACGGTCGTACCCCGTGTAGCGCGCCACCTCAACACCACGCACAAGACTCGGCTCCGCATGTTTCAGGAACTCGTCGGGAACGCCAAAACTCGCCACACCCCCCGCCATCTTGAAGGTGCGGCAAAAGCTGCTCTTTCCCTCGTAGCTCGCAGCGTAGCTGCCCGGGGCGTAGATCTCGAGCAGGAACCCGCGCCGCCGCGCCGCGTCGACGACGAAGGAGTATTGGTTTCCGAGGAAAAAGTTGTCAATGCGCAGCTGCCGTGTCTGGTTGGACACGTAGATGGCGCCGCTCTGCGCCACGGGCGTGGAGAAAAGGAAGGGAATCGTCGTCCCAGTGGTGACAACGAAACTCGGGGGAAACGGCACGAGCACGGCCCCAACCGCGGACGCATACGCAAGAAGAATAAAAACAAGAAGGAGCGCGGAGTGCATCGCTTTTGGCCCCATTTTTTTTTCTCTACTCGTTTGAGCACGCCGCCGAAGAATAGATCCACAAACGCACAAACTAAGAGGAGGAGGGGAAAGGGGGAAGGAAAAAAAGGGAAGAGGTGCCGCACTCGCAACGAGAGATGCCGAAAGAATAAGAGGCAAGTTGGGGGGGGAAGGGGAAGGGGGAAGCTTCATGACGGCCACCCGCACTGGTATTACTCCTCCTCCTCCGTTGCACCTTCCAGAACAAAA